AAATGGAGGAGAACAAAAGACTAGATATAGAGTTCAAAACCATGGTTGTAAGGTTTTTCAAGAATTCCCTAGAAAAGGCCAATAAATTTAACGAGACCCTTGAGGATATGAAAAAGGACCAACTAGAAATTAAACATACATTGACTGAAATAAAAAATATTATACAGAGATCCAACAGCAGACTAGAAGAATGCAAGAAACAAGTCAAAGAGTTGGAATACAAAGAGGAAAGGAACACTCCTCCACAGAAGCAAGAAGAGAATACAGAAAGTTGAAGATAGTGTAAGAAGCCTCTGGGACAACTTCAAGTGAACCAACATCAGAATTATGGGGGTGCCAGAAGAAGAGAAAGAGCAAGACACTGAAAACTTATTTGAAGAAATAATGACAGAAAACTTCCTCTACCTGGTGAAAGAAATAGACTTACAAGTCCAAGAAGTGCACAGAACCCCAAACAAAAGGAATCCAAAGGGGACCACACCAACACACAGTATAATTAAAATGCCAAGAGCAAAAGACAAAGAGAGAATCTTACAAGCAGCAAGAGAAAAACAGTTAATTACCTACAATGGAGCACCCATACAACTATCAGCTGATTTCTCAACAGAAACCATGCAGGCTGGATGGGGGAAGTGGCAAAAAATATTCAAAGTGATGAATAGCAAGAACCTACAACCAAGATTACTGTATTCAGCAAAGTTATCATTCAGAATTGAAGGGTAGATAAAAAGTTCCACAGATCAGAAAAAGCTAAAGGAGTATGTCACCACCAAATCAGTATTATATGAAATGCTAAAAGGTGTTCTTTAAAAAGAGGAAAAAGAAGAAAAAAGTAAAGACAAAAATTATGAACAACAAATATATATCTATCAACAAGTGATTCTAAAAGTCAAGTGAATTAAAAATCTGAGGAACGGAATAAACTGGTGAATATAATAGAATCGGGGGCATAGAATTGGAGTGGATTGATAATTCTCAAGGGGAAGGTGTGTTTGTTTGGGGGGTATGGGAAGAGATTGGACAAAAATCATACACCTATGGATGAGGACAGTGGAAGGGGATGGGGGAGGAGGAGGTAAGGGCAAAGGGTGGAGTGGGGACCAGGCAAAGGGGAGTTATGGGGTGGAGAGGAGAAATAATTGTAATAATCTGAACAATAAAGATTTATTAAGATTAAAAAATATTAAAAGTATAGGCAACAAAAGGAAAAAAATAAATTGAACTTATTATATTGAGAACTATGTGCAGCAAAGAACACTATCAAGAAAGTGAAATAATAACCTACATAATAGGAAAAATATTTGCAGATTATCTTCTGGACAAGTGATTAATATTCAGAATATAAAAGAACTACAACTCAAATCATCAACAACAAAACAACCTAATTAAAAAATGGGCAAATATTTGAATAGACATTCTCCAAAGAAGATATACAAATGGCCAGTAAGTACATGAATAGATTGTCAACATAATTAGTTTTCAGTGAAATAAAAATGAAAACCATGATGAGAAGGTACATCTACTGGGATGGGATATTCAAGAAAGGGGGAAGAACAAGTGTTGGTCCAAGGATGTGGAGAGTTTGGAACCCTCCTGCCCTGCTGTAATATAATGTAAAAGGTACAGCAATGTGGAAACAGTTTGACAGTTCCTCAGGATAAAAAATAAAACTGCAACACTATTGGGGAAAAGCCCCAAAAGTCTAAATTCAGGATTGATTCCAAAGAACTGACATGTAACCTTATTCAAATTCATAAGAGCTTTAAACAGGGCAAAGCAGCTGTTTGCTCCCAGTGGTGGCTGGCCTGGAAGAGAGCCATCCCTTCCCAGGACAAGGTCTATTTTTTTTTTTTTTATAGGAGATTGAATAGTAAAACCACATGGTGGGTAGTCACCTAGACTACCAAAAAGAATAATGCATTTCTAAGTTAGCAGATAACAGCAGGCAATTATTCTCACTCCAGATATTCATCAATTCCCTTCCTGGGGTCTGACATTTATCTTTGGGTGGCAATAGTGCTTTCTGGGAAGTCAGCCAAATCTGAGGCTACAGAGAGTTAAACAGTCACAGAAAGTTAAACAGAGAGTCCAACATTTCCCAGACACCTTTACTGCTGGAGACATACTGCATCTCTGAGCTCCCCTACAGATATGAGATAGGAATTCCAATCCTAGGTATATATCCAAAAAAAATAAAAGCAGACATCTGTACAGCAAAACTCACAGCAGCATTACTTACAATAAATAGCCAAAAGGTGAAAACAATCCAAGGGTCTAACAACAAATAAATGGATACACAAAAGTTGGCATATACACAACGTGAAATACTATTTCAGCCATAAAAAGGAATGACGCTTTGTGATATATACTACAACATGGATGGACTTGAAAATTTTATGCTTAGTGGATAAGCCAGACACAGAAGGACAAATGTTCTGATTCCACTTATATGAGGTACCTAGAATAAGCAATTTGATAAAGAAAATAGAATATAGAGATTACCAGGGGACAGGGACATAGCTTATATTGGGGATGGTGAAAAAGTTTAGGGTGATGAACATACCACTATAGTGGTGTAGTATACACACTGTGAATGTAATTAATGCTGAATTGTGCACTTACAAATGGTTAAATGATCCTATGCCGAAACCGGTTTGGCTCAGCATCGGTCTGCGGACTGAAGGGTCCCAGGTTCGATTCCGGTCAAGGGCATGTATTAATACATCAGTTGCGGGCACATCCCCGGTAGGGGGTATGCAAGAGGCTGCTGGTCGATGTCTCTCTCTCATCGATGTTCCTAGCTCTCTATCTCTTTCCCTTCCTCTTTGTAAAAAATCAATAAAATATATTTAAAAAATGGTTAAATGATCCTATGTAATAAAAGAGTAACATGCAAATTAACCATCACTTCCCAATAAAAATTGCCATGTCCACAGCCAATAAGGAGGGAATATGCAAATTGCCAGGCCAAAATGGCTGCACTGGCTGGAGCCACGGAGCCTTGGAGGGGGGGGTGGGGAGGGAGGAGTCCTGAGTCACCCCAGTGATCCAAGATGTCAAGCCTGACTGGAGAGCAGAGCGGGAGATGGAAGGCTTGGATTGCCCCAGCGACTGGGAGAGTGGGGAAGTTGGGGGGAAGGCTTGGTGTCCTGGATCACCCCAGAGCAGAATGGGAGATGGGTGGGAAGGCTTGACATCCTGGGTCGCTGGGGAAGGTAGTTGGGGGGACCAGGTCTGCGGATGTCCAACTGCCCATTTAGGCCTGGTCCTGGTGGGTTTGCGCTTAAACATCTCTTGAGGGGTCCCAGATTGGAGAGGGTGCAGGCTGGGCTGAGGGACACACTTCCACTCCCCGTGCACAAATTTCTTGAACCGGGCCTCTAGTACATACATATTTTGATATGTATATTTTTACCACAAAAATATATATTTTTATAGAGTGGATGTGAAAGTTGGGAAAGGACCTTGAAATTTCATATAAAGTGGCCAGGGGAGAGGTTACTGGAGAGGTGACCTTTAAGTGAAGCCCTAAAGGAGATGGAGGATCATGTGGCCATCTTCCATAAGGGTGTCCCAGCAGAGGGCAATGGCCTGAGTGGGAGTGTGAGAGGCACATTCCGCAATAGGGGTGGCCAGGGTGACTGAGTGAGAGGGGGTGAGGTCTGAGAGGGAGCTGACCACAGTTAAGTATTTTGGTTTCTGCTGGGAGGGGGAGCTACAGGAAGTGTTGAGCAGAGATACGCGATCCTACTTGAGCTTTAACAAAACATCCCTGGTCACCACAAAGGCCAGCCAGTTAAGGATCTCCAGAGTCTAGCAGGAAGCGCAGTGTTTCCCAGGACGCGCTTCCCCTACCCGCCATCGGGGGGCAGCAGAGCCTCGCCGAGCGCCCGGCGCTCCGGTGGCCTCGCCCTCTCCGTTTAGCGCGCAGGTGGTCCAGTTCTTGGGAAACTTAGCCGAAAACCCGTCCAGTCCCGCGCCTCCACCGGGCCCCTTTGAGAGCAAGAGTTTCCGGAGGCCTGACTTGGGGCAAGCGATGCCCCCGGGGCCAGCCCACGAGATGGGAATGGAGGGAAGCGGAGAAAACTTCGGAAGTAGAATTCCAACTTTTCCTGGGCCTGATTCCCTTGGGCTTCCCCAAAGCGGTAGAGCGTCCCTTTCAGGAGCCTCGCTTACTTTTTAAAGGCAGATGCAGTAAGTTACAGGCTTGGCATTGGCCAGGGAGGCCTGTTGGTTAGAGCGTCATCCCCAAACCCTCTGATCCCCATAACTGGAACAACAAACCGATGTTATCCCCCCCCCCCCCCCACCCCTTATCCTCTCTCTCAAATCAGTCTAACAGTCAATTTTAAAAAATTAAGTGAAAGACTCGAGAGCAACTCGTCCACCGGGACTCCCTGGTCCCGCCTCGCAGGGTGTATCCAGGCAGGTCCACCTCCACCAGGGCAGAGGGGAGAGAGGGAACAGGTGCGCACAGGGATCCTGCTCCCTCAACAGGTGAGTCACTCCAGCTCAGTCTCAGTTCCCGTGAGTCACAGTCCGCGCGAGCAGAAGCGGGGCGGACGCGGTCCCAGGTCCACAGGCGCGCTCCCGGCGGGCGGCGACTTGGTTCCGACCCCAAGGTCCGGCGCGCACCTGGGCCAGCCCACTTCCGGGCAGAGGTGGAGGGGCCCCTTTCACCGCCCACCCCCTCGCCCAACCCTCTCGGCTCCCTCTGTGTACCTGGGCCGGTCCATTCAGAGCGCACGGGGGTGGAGTGACTAGGAGAAACACAGCGAGTGAAGCCAGTTTCTCCCCGAAAGCTGGAAGTGTTCTTCATCCACGCCGTCGCCGCTCGTGAAGCCCCCAGAACTGGGCAGGGTGGGCTTGGAATAGGGACAAAGAACGGAACCGGGAGGGGGAGGAGCATGTCCCCCTCCCCGCCTTGGTGCGCGCCGCGCCCCCTACCCTCCGGGTACCCGGCAGGGGACGCGCGGGCCGGACGTGCCCAGACGGCCGCGATGGCGCCCAGGGCTCGTGGCCGGCGCTGCCCGCTGGGCTCCTGCCCGGGCGCTCCGGGCCGGGGCGCGGTCGTCTTTGTGTGGCTCTTTCTTGGCACTTTGTGCGCAGGTACGGAGCGCGGGGCCCTGGGGCCGCGGACGGGCGGGAGCGCCTTGTAGAGACGGGATGAATGAAGTTCTACACCTCCGGGGAGGCAGGGGAGCGGGGGGAGGGGAGTCGGGAAGACCGGGACCTTCCGATCCCCAGGGTCCCCGAGATCCCTGTGCCCCGGTGTGGGGGAATCACCCCGCTCGCGCTGGAAGCGGTCCCACGCCCTCGACGGAGGTAGCAGGAAGTGAAACTCCGGGACCGAACACCCTAGACGGCCAGGAGAATGAACCTCTGTAAGGCGGGGGTGAAGGGACCACCCGACCTGCGGGGAAGGCCGGGGAGGGGGCTTGAGCGCACGCGGACATTTCTAAGTCCCAGAGTAGCGGGGAGCGGGCGCTCCAGATGAAGACACAGTGTCCAGGCTTCTGGTGGGTGTGGGATTGGGGACTCCCTACCCATGACCCTCAGGCTCGACCCTTATCTGTGCGTTAGGGTCCGATAGGATGGACTTCTAGAAGGACTTGGTTTGAAACTAGCTTCTGCTGGCAAGTTTTGGCTGGGTCGAATGTTTGGGTGGGGGCGTTGGGGGAATCTTATCTTTCTGCAAGCACTCTTGGCATGTTTATTCGAAATGGCTTTGGGTAGGGTGAGATGGGAGGCTGATGGAGACATGGTTGGGCTTTTGCTACTCCATGACAAAGCATCTCAGTCAGACAACTCCAAAATTAACCCTCCAGCCCACAAAAGTTGCAGTAATTTGGAACAATGGCTCTGAGGTGGGGCCTCCAGCACTTTAGCAGTTGCCTGAATGGGCCACAGAGAGGAGCCCTTTCTGTGAGAGAATGGGCAAGGGGAGAGGGGCCAGTGTGGATCAGAGGACACATTCTGGGAAGAGAGGTGAGCGGGATGTTCCAAGAAATCTGGCCATCTGACTTTGCACCTGTCACTTCAGCCCCATGGTCTATAAAATGGGTATGGTTATCAGAGCTGCCTCACCAGTCCTGAGGATTAAGCAGCAGTATGTGCCAGGCTCTATAAAACAATACCCTTGTAAGTGTCAAGTTGGTGACAAAGGTTGTTGCTTATTTCTGCTGAAGCAACTGTTCCTAGTGGTCCCTACTGACTCTCCTCTTGCCCTCAGCTCCTGCCAGTGCCATCCAGGTGACTGTGTCAGACCCCTACCACGTGGTGATCCTCTTCCAGCCCGTGACCCTGCCCTGCACCTACCAGTTGACCACGACCCCCACAGCACCCATCGTGATCTGGAAGTACAAGTCTTTCTGCCGGGACCGCATCGCCGATGCTTTTTCTCCAGCCAGTGTTGACAACCAGCTCAATGCCCAGCTGGCAGCTGGTAACCCGGGCTACAACCCCTATGTGGAGTGTCAGGACAGTGTGCGCACTGTCAGGGTTGTAGCCACTAAGCAGGGCAATGCTGTGACCCTGGGAGAATACTACCAGGGCCGGAGGATCACCATAACAGGAAGTATGTTGGGTGGGGCAAGGGAGAAGCCCGGGATGGGGTTGGGGATGGCTTGTGCAGGCTCCCCTGTGTACAACCTGGAGTCCCCACTGGGAGGCTCGTTAGCACCGGTGTCTGAAATGATTGACAAAGGGAGGATCCTTCCTTCCATCCGTCCATCCATTCCTTTATTTTAACAGCAAATATTTAATGAGCACCTAACAGACACCAGGCATTGTTTGGTGCCTTGGAAATGCAGCAGTAAAGAAAATTATCAAATTCTTTCCCTTGTGGAACTTGCAATCCAGTGAGGGAGACAAGATAAATACAGCACATACTATCCAGTGCTTGGAAATAAAGAAGAGTGGGTAATGGAGAGAGAGGCAGGGTTCTATAAGACTTATTTTACCAGTAATAGTAAGTAAAATTTCTGTACGTAACAACTTATAAAGGATCTCTTATGTGCCAGGTTTATGGGGGTTAACTCACTTAGATCCCACAATTGTGTGAGTAGATTCTGCTACTGTCATTTTACAGAGGCCCAGAGAGGCAAAGTGACTTGTACAGCTGGTAACAACTGCAATTCTAAGTCAGCCTCTTTGGGTCTAGTCTGTAAGGTGGTAACTCCTTTGCTTGACCAGGATGGGGTGATAGATTTTAACGGAGAAAGTCTATGACTTGCCAGGGCATTACATATTCTCCCACGGAGTCCCTACGTCCACATTTTCCACTCGAAAACAGGCACAGAGAGGTTAAGTAGCTCATCTAAGCACACAGAGCTGGAGCTGGGATTTAACGCAGGCAGCCCTGGGAACCTTTTTTCATAACCTTAGTTCTGCCCAATGATGGGAAGTGCCTGTGGGGCTGAGTAAGGACTGGTGGGGAAGTTCATTCACTTATCAAATAGTACTTATCAAGCATTTACTAAGTGCTGGGCACTAGGGATGGGGCGGTGATCAGGACAACTGATATCCCTGCCTAAGGAGGTGACAGGCTAGTGGGGTGAGGTAAATAGTAAACATCAGCTGAAGAGTAAGAATATTAGGGAGTACTAAGTGCTACAATAAAACAGACCTGGGTGTGTGGTGCTATCTGGAGTGCATGCCTTAAGAACTCTACAAATGTGATTTGAGGAGGGATTGGGTCTGGGTCCTAAAGAATCTAGAAGGCAGCCCTAGCAGATTTGGCTCAGTGGATAGAGCATTGGCCTGCGAACTATTAATAAAAGGTCCAGTTTGATTCTGATCAAGGGCACGTGCCTGGGTTGTGGGCTCAATCCCTAGTGGGAGGTGTGCAGGAGGCAGCTGATCAATTATTCTCTCTCATTGACGTTTCTATCTCTCCCTTTTCCTTCCTCTCTGAAATCAATAAAAACATTTTTTAAAGAAGAATCTAGAAGGCAGAGAGGAAGGTGATGGGAAGCAGTGGGTGAGGGTGAAGGCGCACCCATTTAATGGATTTATCCTCTTATTGTCTTTAAACAAGATTAAAGTTTTAGCTGTGGGCATGGGGGCAGAGGAGTGAAGGGAGGGTCCCTTTGCAGACCCCAAGAGACCAGGGCCTGTGAACACACCTGCCCTCACTCTGTAGACCATGGACGAAGACAAGGTTCCAGGACTGAGCCTGTCAGTCCTGTTTCTAGGAGAGACCAGACCTACTTGCCCTGAATTTCCAAGGGCTGTTCAGCCCAAAGCATCCTGCTGTTCTTGAAGACAAAGGGCTTCTTGGGGGTTTACCTGTCCCGTTCCTTTCCCCCTCCCGCCAGATGGGACAGCCCACGTACTGAGAATGCCCTTAGAGGCTGGCTGGAATGATGCCTCTGCTGAGTCCAAAACTCCAGAGTGGCCCTCAGGCTCCAGTTGGGGCAGATGCTCTGGAGGCCTCACAGGCCGGGGTCTTTCAAGCGGCCTTGATCCAGCCCACCTCTGATGTAGGCTGTGAGCAGCCATTGTATCTACATCCTCTCAGGAAACCCAGTAGCCATAGGAGCTTCCTCCATTTTAGCCTTGAAAGTAGAGAAAAGTGGACTTTCCTGTGGTGTCCCAAGGATCACCAGCAGCAGGTTTTAAGTGAAAGTGGTTCTGGGCAAACTGCAATGTTAGTTCACCCTCAGAGTCTCAGCTCAGTGGGGCCCCACTGCCTTCCATTCTGCCCTTCTGTGGGGGATGTGAGTGCCTGGAAAGGAGCTCTGTTTCTACCTCAGGCTGCTTGGGGCCCATGTGTCACCCTCCCCACTCAGTAGCATGACCAGAGAGCCCATGGGGCCCCCGAGATTCTAAGGGCCCTCTCTGCTGAGTGCTGTGTGGAACCAGAGGCTCAGAGGTGTGGAGGAGGCTCAGCTTCTGTTCCCAACTGGATACCAGTATCTCCTCCCTGTACCTAAAACACTGGGGAGTAATGCCCGGCCCCGGGTGTCAGGACCAGACAATACAGACCAGGAACAGGGCGCGCCTGGCAGGAAGGACGTGGGCCCAGGCCTTAGAATTGATCAAAAGAAGCTGTAAATCAGTATTTTTCGTAGGCTTTAGAAACATCGTGCAAGCCAAACAAAACACACCAAGGCCCGGGTCTGGGCCACAGGAGCAGATTTCATCTCCTGCCCATAATCTCTTCCTGTGGCACGGGGTCCGTCCCCCTGCGGAGTTGGGCAGGGGCTGTCCTGAAGCTCTGGTTTGGAGAGGTGTAGTCAGTCTGGTTTAAAAGATAGGCTGGGGAAACGATGGTGTTCTGGAGAGTTTGGAGAATGTAGGTAAGAGTTTTATGGGGATCCAGTGAAAGAATATGCAAAGGAACTTGGCACATACCAGAAACTCAGTAATTGGTGGCTAGATACATGACCATGGAGGGGCACTGTGCCCCCCACTCCTTCATGTCTGCTCCGAAGGTCACCTACTTAAATTTGCACAACCCCTCCTCCACACTGGCACTTTCTGTCTTCCCTGATGGATTTTCTCTGTATTGCTTACCACCATCTGACATGCCATATATTAACTGTTTTTACTTGTCTCTCCCAGTTAAGGTCTGCTCTAAGGTCAGGGCTTTATATCTGTGGTCCATAGCAGTGGTTCTCAAACTGTTAGTTTTAGGGCCTCTGTACCTTATTGTTGTTGTTAATCCTCATCTGAGGATATTTTTCCTTTGATTTTTAGAGAGAGTGGATGGGGGTGGGGAGAGAAACATCATTGCGAGATAGACACATTGGTTGCCTCTTGCTTGAGCCCTGATTGGGGGTTGGGGGCGGGGATTGAACCTGCAGCCCAGGTATGTGCCCTTGACCAGAATTGAATGTGGGACCCTTCAGTCCGAGGGCTGACACCCTATCCACTGAGCCAAACTGGTTAGGGCTAGGGCCTCTACACTCTTAATTACTGAGATCCTCAAAGAATTTTGTTTTTATAGCTGCAAACAGAGAAGTTTAAAAAAATATTTTAAGCTGACAGTGATAAACTCTTCATAAGTTAATATGGATAACATACTTTAATGAAAATTGCATTGTTGCTTATAATTTTGCTCATCTCCTTGAGGTCTGGCTGAGTAGAAATTGTGATAGCAGGTGTCATCTAGCCTCTGAATCCTCCACAGTACATTCAGAGATTAAGTGAAAAAGGCAGATAACATCATAGTATTATTATGCTAGTAACTTTGACCTCTGGGATCCTCTGGTAAGGTCTTGGGGAACCACAGGACCCACGGATCACACTTTGAGAATGGTTGCTGTCGAGTATACCACATACCTCTGATACTGTCTGAAACATAGGATGCTTTCAGTAATTATGTGAAATGTTGAATGTATTGAGGGCCTAGACTAAAACCAGGTGCCTAGACTGCTGGAACAGACTACAAAAGCTAAGGGATGTCAACGCTAGGAGGGAAGGGGTACATTGCCCGGTCCCCCTGTGTCAGGCGCTCGGGACTCAGCAGTGACTGAGGGCAGGTTCTGCTTGTGTGGAGCTCACATTCTCCTGGGTGGGATCCGCAGTGCTCGGCCTCTAACTGGCTGATACAGTGTAGCAGTGGGTGGGGGAGCTGTGCCAGTAGAATGGAACCAGTCTTGCCAGGGTTTGAGAACACAGTGCCAGGCAGAGGTACTAGCACAGGTGCAAGCAGAGGCAGGTGTGGGCCAGCATGCCGGGCCCAGTGAGGAGGCCAGAGTCCAGAGCAGTGAGTGAAGGAGATGGGTGGGGGTGAGGCTGGTGTGTCCGGGAGCCAGATCATACCAAGGGCCTGTGGGCCAGGGTCGGGCTTTGGAGTGGTGGAGTTAGACATTGAAAGGAGGGTCTATGGATGTGAGCTCTTCTTTCCAAAGGAGGAAGGCTCCGGTTCTTTTCATTTCTTTGGCAAGTGGCTGATGCCCTGGTGAGTGCCAGGTGCTGCAGACGGGCACACACAGTTACTGCCCTCGGCCGTCATGGAGAAGGGCAGTGGGTACATGGGCAGTATGGTAGGCAAGTCATCGGAGGCCCGAGTGCCAGAGCTTTTGGGAAGAAGCTGGCGGTGGCCTGTTCCTGTTGTCAGCTGAGTCCGCCCCTGCCCCACACTGGTGCATACCTGAAGGGATTTAACTAATTAGGGCCTGAGGCATAGAGAGGAAACTGGAAATGCTGATGGACTTTAATTATTGGTGTAATTAACAGGCTCTTTGCCCTGAGCAGCTTCATACCTGAGCGTCCCCAAGCCCTGGGCCCAACCTGGATTGTGGGGGCTGACGGGTAGATGGATTAGGGAATTTGGACTGCCCAGGTCTTTCTCCCTCACACACACACATAACCCATTTCTTCTCAGGCCGACACGTATTCTGATTCCTAGAATCTGAGCTACTCACCTCCGCTTCCTTACCAGGCAGGCTCCCTGGTAGTTCACGTTGGGGGCAGTAACTTTTGCTGTGAAAGGTAGAGAAAATGGCTGTTCAGTCTGAATTGCTGGCTCTGGAGTCAAGACCACTGATAAGCTGGACAACTTTGGGCGGGTCAGGTCATCTCACCTATGACATGGGAAAGGTAACACTGCGCACCTCACAGATCTCTTGGAATACCCACGTCAGTGTTTAATACAAAGCCTAGGAGGGAGCACTGCCTGGTCTGAATTGCCTGCGCACCTGCAGCCCCATTCCCTGATGGCTCTGTGGCTTCACACTCTCCTCCCGGTACAGATGCTGACCTGACCTTTGACCAGACGGCTTGGGGGGACAGTGGTGTGTATTACTGCTCTGTGGTCTCAGCCCAGGACCTCCAGGGGAACAACGAGGCCTACGCAGAGCTCATCGTCCTGGGTGAGTGGGCGGGCCCTGGGGGCCTGGAAGGGGCGGGGTGGGGAGAGGGGCCTCTCCTCCCCACTTGTGCATGTCTCCCTCTGTCCTCCAGCTCATTCTCTGGGCTCTGTCGCCTGCTTTGCTCTCCCCACATGGCACCATCAGTCACTTGGGCTTACCTGTGTCTTGCACCCTAGGCAGAAACTCCCTCACATAACATTTCAGGTGAGCCACAGCCAAACTAAGCGGAAAGAATGGGGGGCCAGATCTCTTCTTGGGCCATTTTTTAAAAGTACAGAAATGGTCAGAGTTGGTTGGCAGTTAATGAGGAGGGTTGATGGTTTGTGTAATTGAGAGGGAGCTAGACCCACCTGTCACATCTCCAGGGCCACATCTGACTCCAGAGGCCCTTGCCAAAGCACAGGAACCTTGCGCTCTGCCTGCCTGCTGGGATGGCATTTTGTGGCTTAGACAGTGAGTGCTTCCCTCAGGCCAGGCCCGTCCAGATGCCCAGGTGCAGGGTGGGATAACCACCAGGAGCCTGTTTGGCCATGGGGATGTTGCCATTAGCCAGATGCTCTATTCTCAGCCAACACATATAGTCTCGAGTGACGTGCTATATGTGAAATGCTGCTGGGCTGCATACTGCATCATGTGCATGATACAAGGAAACATGTGTGAATGAGCACACATGATGAGGGAGCAGGGTGCTGAGACCATGTGACAGTTCACATGTGGGTGACAGAATGCATGCACCAGTGACCCAGAGAACCCCTGCTTGTCCTTGGTAAAATGTACGGTCTGCATTAGCAGTTCTCAAAATGCAGTCTCAGGACCTACTTACTCTCTGAAAAATTACTGAGGCTCTCAAAAGAGTTTTTGTTTGTATTTCTGTGAGTTATATCTATAGTTGGTTAACATCATAGAGATTGAAAACTGGAAAAATTTTAAAGCAAGATACACAAGGACATAGTCCATTACCATCAAAGTGATGATGTGTCATCACGTGTCACACAGCCTCCGGACAGCTCCACATGGTTGTCATGACAGTGAGAGCGAAAAAGGCAAATGATGGCTTCGTGCTGTGAAAATTATTTAGTTTGGCTTTGGGGACAGGTCCACACTTTGAGAACTGCTGGTTTGGATGGTGAAAAGCCCCTCAGTGGCACAGAGTGTATGAGCTCTGGGTAGGGGTTGGTTGGTGGAGACCTGGGTATACAGATGTCCCTGCGATATACTTGTGGGCACACATCACGGATGGCACCTGAGGGAAGGCACTAGGTGGGCCATAAGACTTGCAGATGGGACAGAATGCATGGGCCAAGATGGGACCCTCGTGGACTAAAGAACCAAGGCCACACTAACTTTTAGGGCTATAGGCACTTTTGCCTTCATGGGCCTTTTCCTCTACATTAAAAAAACACACAAAAAACCCCAAAAAAACCATACACACACACACACACATACACACATATACATAGGCTTACCTTGCTATAAAACTATTTGTTATTATATATTTGGTATTACATATTTTCTTCCAATTTAAAAATAAAAATATTTTCAAGGGCCCTAAGACACTGCCTATTATGCTGGATGGACCAGGACTGTCCTTATCACATGGGATGCAACTCTTTGGGCAGTGGGACCCATGTATGTGGAAAAGACGAAGTGCTCAAATTCAGTTCACACCCGCAGAGCCCATGGGAAATGAGGGGGACCCCTTTTGGGCAACAGAATCCCTTGAGGCATGAGAGAGGGTAACTTATATGATGGAAGCCTTCTGGAAAACAGCGCCCTGTTTTTATGTGGGTGGGGGGTCGGGTGAGGGCAGGAACCAAGTGCTATGACCCTCCTAGGCCACCAACCTATCTGATGCTTCCAGGCACACCTTCACCTGATAAGCCTGGAGCTGGGCTTCTGGAGAGGGGCAGCCTGGGCTGGCTCTTGCCAGCATAATATGTCTCTCTTTTGTCCCTCCAGGCAGGACCTCGGGGGTGGCTGAGCTCTTACCTGGTTTTCAGGCGGGGCCCATGGAAGGTATGGGGGTGGAGGCCCTTACACACCACTTACTGCTTCTAAGAATTCTCCCCACCCGAAATGCCGCTCGCTGTGGACCCCACTAACCTTGCCTGACTCCAACTCATGGCATCTAGTGACCTGGCTCTGGGCTTTGGGGTGGGCAGGGATGGCTGCGGGTGGGCCTGGGGTGTAGGCAGGAGGCTCCTGTGACTGGTGCCTATGGTGCTCTTCTGGCTTTGAGATCTGGGCAGCTGACTCTCTGTCCCTGAGGCTACAGCCTGTCTTGCTGTGGCTAGGTCACCTCTCCTTTTCTGCCTTGCCCTGCTGAGTCCAGGGCGAGTTCCTTTGGGATTGGCCTGAGTTGTAGACGAGTTGGGCAGCCCTCTGTTGCTGTGCTCCAGCTTCTGGCATGGAGACTCCAGCAAGAGCTACAGCTTCCCTGACAAGCTTTGCAGATAGCTTCGCCCACCCCTCTCTGCATTGCCCTGCTGTGTCCCTGTTTCCACCCAGGCTCCTGGCTCAGGGCCTCTCCGATCTCTCTGCAGACTGGCTGTTCGTGGTTGTTGTCTGCCTAGCTGTCTTCCTTGTCTTCCTCCTCCTGGGCATCTGCTGGTGTCAGTGCTGCCCGCACACCTGCTGCTGTTACGTCAGGTGCCCCTGCTGCCCAGACAAGTGCTGCTGCCCAGAGGCTTGTGAGTGCCCCTTGAGTGACCACCCCTATTCAGCAACTTGCCTGGGTCCAAGGGGAGGAGGTGCTACTGGTCTGGAGGTTATGAGGTGAGCAATTTGGGAGAAAGTGGGTCAAGGAAGACCAACAGGTTTAGATTTTTATTTACATCAACTTTTCATGTATTTTGATTCTTCATTTGAGGTTTTCTTTTGAAAGTATAACCTATATGCATGGTAAGAAAAACTCAAATAGTACAAAACAGTCACTAGAGAGTAAATCTCCCTTTAAAAACAAAATCTTAAGTGAAAAAAGGTAAGAAACCAAACGAGGTTTAATGCATCACATAATTTAAGCAAATTAAAAAAACCTCATCCACACAACCGTTTGGGTACTATTTTAAAAAAAATATATATTTTATTGATTTTGTACAGAGAGGAAGGGAGAGAGATAGAGAGTTAGAAACATCGATGAGAGAGTCATCGATCAGCTGCCTCTTGCACACCCCCTACTGAGGATATGCCTGCAACCAAGGTACATGCTCTTGACTGGAATCGAACCTGGGACCTTTCAGTCCCCAAGCCGACGCTCTATCCATTGAGCCAAACCAGTTTCGGCTGGGTACTATTTTTTTTTTTTTTTTAAATATATTTTATTGATTTTGTACAGAGAGGAAGGGAGAGAGATAGAGAGTTAGAAACATCGATGAGAGAGAGTCATCGATCAGCTGCCTCTTGCACACTCCCTACTGGGGATGTGCCCGCAACCAAGATACATGCCCTTGACCAGAATCGAACCCGGGTCTTTCAGTCCCCAAGCCGACGCTCTATCCACTGAGCCAAACCGGTTTTGGCTGGGTACTATTTTTAAAGACATGTCTAGCACATGAGTGGCACCTGGAGAGTTGGGAATGGAAGTGGGGAAGGAAGCAAACAAAATAGGCACATGCACTCCAGACAGATGTATGTTTGTGTACTTACATTTAAAACTTATACATGATTCCAGTGTAATGCAGTCCGAGCTGTGTTAAAAGTGGAATTGAGAGATTTTTTAAGGTGGAGGTTTGAGGCTTGGCTTGCCTCCTTACCTGCTTGGAAGCCCAGTAAATTCCTCTCGTTTAGTCTCTTCTGTAAAGTGGGGCTGTGGCAGAGCCCTCTGTACAGGGTGAATGTGGGAAACTGGTGTGTCCAGCATTTAGTACAGGATTCGGCCTACAGAAAGTGTTCCACACCCTCCAGCCATTGGACATTGCTGCTGTCAGCATCGGTGGTGACCGAGGGCCAGAGAGCAAATCATAGCCCTGCCACTCACACCTCAGAGCAGTTTCTCCTGCCTCATTGAGGGGTGTCGTGAGCATTAAGGGAAGACTGAGCGTCCCTAGCACAGGGCTGTGACTCACTCCATGCCAACTAATTCTATGGTCACTGGGCTTAGTGGTGGGCAAACTGGTTCCTCAAAATATCACTCCCTGGAAAAAATTGCTATTTGGGGACTTAAGCTATCACTTTTCTTGTCATTTTTAGTTGAGAGCTTCTGGCTTACCTGGTGGATGTTAGTCCATTTCACAGGTGGAAAGGGACTCCCAAGAGCTCTAACCAGATTTGCAATTTTTTCACAAATTAGGTCAAGGCTGGGGCCAGGACTGCAAATTCTCTCCATTCTGAATCCCTGTTATCCCAAATGGAGGCCCCATTAATTCCCTACCAGAGGCTGCATTATTCCACAGCCACAGTGACAGCCACAGCCCTCCTGGGCTATCTGAAAGCAAATCCCACAGCAAATTATAAACAGCCAATCACCTGAGCTAATGGGGGGCTTTTAGGGGAACTACTGAGCCTTTTGCTTCCCAACTGAATCAGCAGTGAAGGGATCTTTCTGAGCCTATCTCCATGCCCTACTCCCTACCCCCAACCCCATTTTCTTGTTAAGAGGCCCAAGGAAGAAACAACTCACCTAGGCACAGTGACTGTGCTGCAAGAGCAGCCACTAGAACCCAGCCTCTTATCTGGGAGGAAGGCAGCAGGGAGGATTTGCCCTTGAGCTGTCGAGCCTAGAACCAGGAGGGGTGAAGGCGGAGTTAGTGGGTACAGCCCAGAAATTGAAAACACGAGATAATCCCCATGACATCGAGGTCTGGAAGATTCCAGCAGGCCTGAGAGGGGAGCATGCATGGAATTCCTCTACCCCTAGATGATTTGTTTTCTAAAGCTGCCAACTAGAATGCTTTGTCCTGTGGGTCCAGCTCATGGGTTTATCTTCTCCCCTTGCTCTGAGAATGCAGGCCCCAGGTGGCCACATCTTCTGGTAAGGTGGCTAGAGAGTTGGGATTTTATGTAAAACGTCGACAAATGTTGGTAAACCATCCCTGCTAAAGAAAACATGTCCTGCCAGATTGGGGCTGCAGGCTGCATGTATACCCCTGTCCTCAAAGCTCCGTGAGGAATCACATAGGAAGTGTGGACTCGATGATGGACCTTCAGAAACCAAGTCCCCAGGGAGGCTCTACAACTAGGGATGGGGAGAAGGTCCTGTTACCATAGGGAAGGGCAGTGTGGCTCCTGGCCACCAGCTCATGCTCTGTGTGTCTTACAGTATATGCTGCTGGTAAAGCAGCCACCTCAGGTGTCCCGAGCATCTACGCCCCTAGCACCTATGCTTACCTTTCTCCTGCCAAGACCCCACCCCCAGCAGCCATGATTCCTATGGGCACTGTCTACAATGGATACGCTGGAGACTTCGACAAGAATAGCTCAGGTGAGATCTGGGGGTGCCAGGGGCAACTAGGGATTGGCTGGGCCCTTGGGCACTGAGTGTGGGACTGGGGGCAGGGAAGGGGGCTGGGAATGCAGGACTTTGCTCCAGGGGAGCAGCCATTGACAGCCAGTCTCCCCCAGTAGGTGGCTGTAGCTCCCAGGTACCCCTGCTTCGTGATGCAGACAGCAGTGTGTCCTCTGGTAAGAACCAAGTGTTACTAAGCTGAACATGCCTGTAAGGGAGGGGGACTGGGTCAGCACCCAAACTGATCATCTCCATCTCCTGTCTCTAGAAGTCCGTAGTGGCTACAGAATTCAGGCCAGCCAGCAGGATGACTCTATGCGAGTCCTGTACTACATGGAGAAAGAACTGGCCAACTTTGACCCTTCTCGACCTGGCCCCCCCAGCAGCCGTGTAGAGAGGGGTGAGGAACCTTGGAGTTTGAGGGGTTGCAGAGGTGGGGGTGGGACGTCTCCCTAATTACCTGGCCCAAGGATGCTTGCTTGCAAATCCTGGACATAATACCTCCTTCCCTATCATTGCCAGTGAGTATTGTATGGGACATTGCATATCATCCCTTAACATGAGAGAAGTCTAGGGCCTTGTAGAGAGTATAAGCCAGTGGTAACACTGGTGGACCCTAGAGCTCCTGGCATCAAGTCCTGACCTCCCAGCAGTCAGTGACATGTCCCTTCCCTACAGCCATGAGTGAAGTCACCTCCCTTCATGAAGACGACTGGAGATCACGGCCTTCCCGCGGCCCTGTCCTCCCACCAATCCAGGATGAGGAATGGGGTCGCCACTCCCCTCGGAGTCCAAGGAGATGGGAGCAGGAGCCCCTTACAGAACGGCCCAAGAGTGGGTGGGGGGCCGGGCGTCCCCGGGCTCGTTCTGTGGATGCTCTGGATGACCTCACGCGGCCAGGCTCTGCTGAATCAGGGAGGAGGTCTCCACCAAATAGTGGGAAGAAAGGCCGAGCTTATGCACACCCCCGAAGCCGCAGCCGTGACGACCTCTACGACCAAGAAGACCCAAGGGGCTTTCCACGCTCTCAGGAACCCCACTTCGATGACTTCAGGTCTAGAGACCGCCCTAGTGCTGACCCGAGGAACCGCTCCTACCGCTCTCGGGATGCTCGGAACGAGCGGTCCAAGGACCCCCAATACGACGGCCGGCTTCTGGAAGAGGCCTTGAGGAGGAAGGGGCCAGCGGAGAGGAGACCTTACAGGGAGGACGAGGACGACTACTACCCTCCAGCGCCTCCCCCTTACTCCGAGACCGACTCCCAGGCCTCTCGGGAGCGGAGGCTCAAGAAGGTGAGGAACAACCTTCCCCGGCCTGCACACCCACCCTGCCCCCTCTCCAGTCACATGCTCACACCCTTTCCTTTTTCTCCTTTGCAGAACTTGGCCCTGAGCCGGGAAAGTTTAGTCGTCTGATCTCATGTTTTGTATGGAGTTTTGTACTTTTTTTTTTTTTTAATTTGAGGAACTTGATATTCTTCTAAGCCTAATAAAATATACGATCACAAGGCCAAATTTGGAGGAAGCGCTTGTTTTGTTGCGTGAGGTGGGGCCCTGGAGAGCTGCCTTGGGTGTCTGCACATGGTCCCAAGCCCTTCTCTCCGGGCTCTGATGCCCGGCGCCTGGGGCGGGACTCGCTCGGCCGCCTCCCGCAGGGGGAGGACGTTCTCCGCTGGCTCCGCCCGGCCTGCGTGCGCGCGCCAGCCCCGTCCGGACGTGCGCATGCGCCTCGGGCCTCCGCCTCCGCGCACTTTCGCCAAAACGGGGGCGCGCATGCGCGCTCCACTCCCGTTCCACTTCATTCACACGCGCCCTTCCCCCCGCCCGCCACCCCCTTCGACGACTTTACGGTCTCCAAACCCGAGGCCTGCTTCGTCCCCTGGCGTTCCATCCGGGCCCACGTTCCACCCGCGGCCCGCCGGCGAGTGCCTGGCAACCCGGGGGCGGTGGCGATCCTGCGCCCCGCCGAGACCCGGCCGGCGCGCGCCCGCCGCCATCGGAGACAAACAGCGTGCGCGTTCCCCGGGGGCTGCCCTCCCCGCGCGTCGGCCCGGGATCGCGCTGCCGCCGCCGCGCGCGCGCAGCTCAAGTAAAGGAGGAAAAAAAAGGAGGAAAAAATAGAAAGCGGCGGCCGCTACCGCAGCGATCCGCCGCGGGACTGGGCTCGGCCGGGCGGCTGACGCTCGAGCCGGCGATCCAGAGGAGGCGGCGGCCGTCCAGGTCGGGCCGGATTTAAAAAAAAAAAAGTTGCGGCGGCGGCTCCGGGAAGGAGGCCGAGGGCCGCGTGCAGCGGGCGGGGGGCGGCCGCTGCGTCCCGGAGCCCAGAGCCGCCGCGAGCCGGCAGGAGGCGGGCGGAGGCGGCGCGGCGGCGGCTGCAGGAAAAGCGCGGCGGCGGCGGCATCTCCTCCTCACATGACCCCACTGTTTGTCCCCGTGATCAGCGCGAGCGGCTCCCGTGTCTCCTCCGTCCCCTCCTGCCGCGCGGCGTGAGCGCCGGGCTCGGGGGCCCCCCCGGCCGCCCGCCCGCCCCCTCCCCTCCCTCCCTCCCCCCTTCCCCCTCCCCTCCCCCGGGCCCCGCGCCCCCCCCCGCCCCCACCCCCCCATGGACATGCTGGACCCGGGTCTGGATCCCGCTGCCTCGGCTACTGCTGCTGCCGCCGCCAGGTAAGGCTGCCGGCCGGCTTGCCCCCGCGCGCCCCGCTCCGGCCCTGCGGCCTGGCGGGCGGGCCGCCATGATCCCGAGCGACCGCGGGGCCCAGCTCAAAATGGAGGCCGCGAGGGAGGGGGGCCGTGCTAGGGCCCCAGCCCCGGGTCCTAGCGGTGCCCCCGCCCCCGAAAGGGCCGGGCGGGACGGGGGCCCTGCACCTGAGCGGAGGGGCGGGGGCGCGGGCGGCCCTGACCCCCTTTGCCCGCCTTCCCCGCAGCCACGACAAAGGACCCGAGGCCGAGGAGGGCGTCGAGCTGCAGGAGGGTGAGTGCTCGCGGCGCCGGGCTGCGGCCTGCGCCCGGGGCGGCACGGGGGTGCCCAGGCCCTCCGACCGCTGACCGGCGCCCCTACCCTCCTTTGGCCGTAGGCGGGGACGGCCCCGGGGCGGAGGAGCAGACGGCCGTGGCTATCGCCAGCGTCCAGCAGGCGGCGTTCAGCGACCACAACATCCAGTACCAGTTCCGCACAGAGAATAATGGAGGACAGGTGAGGGGGCCGGAGCCGCGGGCCCGCGGAGGGTCGGGTTGGGAGGAGCTCGGACCTGGGCCCTGCCTGGGCCCTATCGCTGGTCTCGCTGCTCTACCGCCCCCTGCAGGTGACATACCGCGTAGTCCAGGTGACTGATGGTCAGCTGGATGGCCAGGGCGACACAGCGGGCGCCGTCAGCGTCGTGTCTACGGCTGCCTTTGCTGGGGGGCAGCAGGCTGTGACCCAGGTGGGTGTGGATGGGGCGGCCCAGCGCCCCGGCCCTGCTGCTGCCTCTGTGCCCCCAGGTCCTGCAGCACCCTTCCCACTGGTAGGTCCTCAGCAATGCCTGGGGGGGATGGAGAGGGGACATTGACCGTTTTGGGGGAATCCCAATGGGTGGAGCATGTGCAACACAGATGCTGCCTTCAGGCCGTCCGGCTGTGTGAGTTAAATTCCTGTTCTGCACAGTGAAATCTTGGACAAGGTCTTAGGAACATCGTTTTTTCTTTTTTTTAGACTTGGGATCATGGTAATAGGAAAGTCTCTTTTCTCAGGGGAAAAAAATCAGTTGGTTCACCAAATGATGGCTGAGTGTCTGCAAGTTCCAGGGCCATCTGAGACATAGGCAGCGTAGTAGATACAAAGGGTCCCACCTTCCATAGAGGATGCAGTATCCATCAAACAGGGCAAAGGGGATGGTTTGGGGAACTAGGTGGCTAAGGGTGGCCTCTGTGTCCTATTCCCCAGGCTGTAATCCAAAATCCCTTCAGCAATGGCGGCAGCCCAGCAGCTGAGGCTGTCAGTGGGGAGGCACGATTTGCCTATTTCCCAGCGTCCAGTGTGGGAGATACCACGGCTGTGTCGGTACAGACCACAGACCAGAGCTTGCAGGCCGGAGGTAAAGGGAGGAAGGGGCTGAGGTGGAAGGCAGGGGAGGCAACAGGCCTAGCAGGGAGGGATTCCCCAGCCATTTCTGACTCTGCCCCCAGTTTTAGCACTAACCTGGCTTTCCCTACAGGCCAGTTCTATGTCATGATGACGCCCCAGGACGTGCTTCAGACAGGAACGCAAAGGACGATTGCACCTCGGACCCATCCCTACTCCCCGTATGTGCAGGAGACCTGGGCCCAGGAGCAGGGGACACTGGGAGGGCCTGGTGTGGGGCTGAAGGAAGGAAATGTTTTGTGGAGTAGGAGTCAGGCAGTTGAGCACCCAATAGGCACTTGGTATATTTTTTGGTCTGTTTTCGTTTCTTTAGTATAAAGAAAGTATCATTTCCTCTTTCTTTCTACATATGAATATGTATGTTTGGCAAAGGTCATTTTCAAGTCTGACTTTGTAATAAATGCTTGGACCAATGGAGCCTGAGATAACATGTGCCCATTTTATCCCTCTTCTAGGAAAATTGATGGAACCAGAACACCCCGGGATGAGAGACGGAGAGCTCAGCACAATGAAGGTAAATTCAATGTGGAGCCCCTGTACCAGCCGCAGGCCTTGACCTCACAGGCACTGCCAGGCAGGCCTTGTGTTTGAGTACAGATCACTGGGCCTGCTCCACATAGAGAGAGGTGTTGTTGAATGCTGGAAAAGTAGAAACAGGTGGAGGAGGTTCGTTGATAGGATGAATGGACTGCAATGTGTTTTGTCATTCTGGCTAGTTTTGAATTAAGGACCAGCATCAGAAATGGCAGGTTTTACCTGGCTGCGGTGGTTCAGTGGTTGAGTGTGGACCTATTAACCAGGAGGTCACAGTTCGATTCCCAATTAGGACACATGCCCGGGTTGCTGGCTTGATCCCCAGTAGTGGGCATGTAGGAGGCGGCCAATCAATGATTCTCTCTCATCATTGATGTTTCTCTCTCGCCCTGTTCCTTCCTCTCTGAAATCAATAAGAATATATTAAATAAGTAAAATGGCAGGTTTCACATTCACATGTGGGATTTCCTGCTCCCTTGGACCTTCGTTTCCATTGGCAACTGTTGGGTGTGAGTCCATCATTTCCCTGCCTGCCTGGCTTCCAGAAGTAACTCTGGTCTGATAGGGGCACATCTGAGGATGAAATTGCAGGATCCTGTGCCTCTGGCTAGCCAAGGCTGGAGCATCCTGCCCGTACAAACACCAAATTCATCCTGCGTTCCCAGTCGTCCTTTGTGTTTCTGTCCTCTGCGTTCCCAAGTTGGCCTTTTTTTGCTGTTTCCTACTTTCCCACCCAACCCCTGCCTTCAATCAGTAGCCTATGATTGGTGTAACAATATTCAAGTCCAGGGGAATTCTTACACTCAAACAACTGTCCTTTAGCAAACGTTTCCTGGAGATAGATTCTGGGCCAGGCTGTAGAGTATCAGAGAAGCTGAGGAGTTCAGGCCAGGGAGGTAGTTTTTGGGAGGGCCTGCCAGACAGGGAGCACCGGAAGGGGGTCGCAGAGAGGAGTCAAATTGCTTGGGAGGGTACTGGCTTGGTTGTTGCAGAGGTTGGAGTGCTTGGGAGGGGAGCCAGGAGAGTCAAGGAAGGCCCTGAAAGTCGGGGTGAGACCCCACAGTCCTAAAGGTCTTCCATTGGGGATGGGTTCTGCAGCTGTGATGTAAGCTCTCACTAAATTGAGGTGTTCGTTCAGTACGTACATACAATGTGCCAGCCCGTTCTAGGTTTTCAGATAGTGGGTAATCGAACAGATGAGGTCTTGGCTCTCGCAGTGTTTATTCTGGTAGGAAAAACAGAAATTGCACAAAGCTACAATATGACGTCAGACAGCAGGAAGGAAGATAAAGCTAGGTAATGGTGGCAGTGTAAGCCTCCCAGGTGACATTTGAGTAGAGGCCTGAACAAACCTTAAGGAATGGGCCAGTCAAGTACTGGGGGAGGGTCCCAGGCATAGAGATGAGCAAGTGCAGACACCTAGGCTTGAGCCAGAACAGACTTGGCATGTATAAAGAAGAGCAGAATTCAGGAAAGGAACGAGGAAGTTGGCAGAGTTGCAGGAAGATTGTTCAGGCCAGATCCTTGTAAGAGGCCCTCCCAGTGTTCCTTATCCTAGATATTTATTATAGTTTGAGGGGCAACTACCTGAGAGGTTTATGTATGGAGGCCATATAGTAAGGGACATCAGAGGCTAGAAAAATAGGAGGTGCCTGCAGTTGTCTGGCCTGAGATAGGCTGAAGAATCAGGATTTCATGAATCAGGGTTTCATGATGGGGTCAGGTTGGTTTGAAAAGGGAAGGAGTGAGTGAGTCTGAGCTTGGTTTTCGAGTGTGGCAAGTTTGAGGGGCCTCCTGTAGGCTACCCAGCAGTTCTGTATCCACTGCTTATGTCACATGACCTCAGACTGGTTGTTAATCTCTGCACCTGCTTAGTTTTCTCGGTAAGATGTTAACCCATCTCCTGCAGAGGCTCAGTGAGGATGCCCAAGCTGAGGTGTGAGTGCCCCGGCAATGTGGTGTGCCCCCCAGTAAGACTGTAACAAACCACTCTTGGGATACCATCTAGCTATCCTCTACCTCACTGACATTTTTTGCCTGTCACAGGGTTAATCCACGGACAAAAAGTCTGGAATCTTTCTCCTACAAAAAAGTCTTTTTTCATAACCTTGCTTTTACCCTCCAGCTGTAACTTGCCCTCTCCTAACCTGCAGAGTTTTTGGGCCCTTTTACGCATCCTGTGCCCTTGGCATCTGACTCTTCTCTACCAAAATGGCTCCATTTAAGGCCACCCTTGACAGCCTCATTGCCAAACCCATGGCTTCCTTCCCTGTCTGTGCTGTACACATCTGACCCTGCCTATTTCCGGCCTTTTGGTAATGATCCTCTCTGCTCCACCTACTCTGATTCTCCTACACTCTTTGCCTCTTTTTCACAGCCTGCTTCTTAGACAATCAAGGTCTCCAGGGCTGTCCTCAGGTTCTGAACGGGTAGGACAGAGGGAGACCCAGGAGTCTGTATTTGGACAAGTTCCCCAAGCGATTCTTCACATTGCACAAGGCTGGGAAACTGCTTCGGCTCATGGTGCTTCTTAAGGTTGATCCCGTCTCAGGTCAGTCTCAGGAGTGAAATGTCAGGCTCGGGAGTTGTCAGTATCCCAAAACCCCATCCCTAGTTGTAGGTGTTCAGTATTTCTCTGGTTTCTGCTGGCTTTCTCCTATGTGACTCCAAAAAGGTGAAACCTGCCCCTCCTCTATGTCTCTCCGGGGCTTCCCTAAACTCCAGACTCATTTTGAGCTGCTTGCTCTAAGTACCATTTCTGGATTTCCTTGAGACGCCTCAGACTCAGTGTGTCCAAACGGAATCTGCTATCTCCTCCCTAAAGGCTCCCATGTACCATTTCTTTCCCCCTGCAGCAAAGGTCACCCCGTCACAGTGTCCAGGCCAGAACTGAAAGCCAGGCCACCTTCCACTCTGCTCTCTTCGCTCATCCCCCAAACCTGAGATTCTGTGCTGAAGTGGACTTGATCAGCTTCCCTTTCTCCTTTTCACATCTGTCGCACCAGTTCTTGGTACAGTGGGACCCGTCTCCAGCCGCTTCATGAACCGGGGCATGTGTCTTGCCTGAAGGGTGGCCTTTGCAGCAGCCATTGCTGCCAGATCAGAGTTAGGGTCCACTGTTGGTAGAACCTCTTCAGTAGCCAGAAATCCAGATCTTTTTGTGAAATCTGATTTCTTAAGATCTGCTTTTTTTTATTTCTTTAGTTTCCACGCTTAATGCTACTAATTCATTCCTTCTACTTACTGAGGGTTTAATTTGCTAGGGTTTTTTTCTTCTACTTTTTAAAGATCATTTTAAACTTTTTTCCTCAGTGTCAGCTAGGTCAAGCTGGTTGACAGTGTTCAGGTTTCCTATCTTGATTTTTTTGTCTACTTGTTCTATTGATTACTGAGAAGGGAGTGTTGATGTCTCCAAGTATATTTGTGAGTTTGTTCACTTCTCCCTTTTGTCCTGGCAGATTTTACTTGTAAATTGTGTTTTAAGTCTTGCGTGGATATAACCGAAGCACTTCTGTGGAATACGTGTGGCCTTGGTCTTACCTAGTCTTCCTCCATTTCAGATGTACCAAAACGGCCTGACCACATCACCACCTGCTTAATGAAAGGCCCCAGACTCAAGGGCCCGGACTCCTAGTAAGAGATAAGGTCCAGACTCCTTAGCAGGCATTCACGGTCTTCATAAACCTATTTTTACAACCTTTTCCTGTCCCCTGTTCCATGCGCCCAAGTACCATGTCACCTGTCTGCCTGATTCCTTCTCCCCTCAGAAACTAGCCCAAATAGTTTCTCTTCTAAGACTTTGAGGCTACATCCTACTGCACTCTCACGCAGAAACCATTGCTCTACCTTGGAGTTTCCCAAGCACTTGGCACAATATCCAGTCATCACACATATCCTTGAGTGTTTGTACCACTATCACCTGTTCACATGCACTTCACAGTGATGCTAGCAGGACAGAGACTGAGTTTACTGTGGATTCCAGCCTCTCAAAGTGCCACTGCAGGCAGTACTTTTTAAAAATTTTAATCCTCCCCTGAGGACATGCTTATAGAGAGAGGAGAGAGAGAAAACAAAACAAAACACCAATTCAGCTGCTTTCCTCACACCTGACCAGGCATCAAACTGCAACCCAGTTATGTGCCCTGACTGGGAATCAAATCAGCAATCTTTGGTGCACAAGACAATGCTCAACTAACAGCCACTCATGCTGGGTGGCAATATGTTTTTAAGAAGTAAATGCAAACTAGAGATGTGCCACACCCACTGTCTGCCCCCTGGTGGCTTGAAATGAGGAGTACATGGGAGTTACTGCCATAGGGAGTGCCCAGGCTGGGGAGTGGAACTGCATGAGGGCAGGGAAAGTAACCAAGCAGCCACTGCTGTGAGCTCCTCAGCTGAAACCTCGGGGATGCAGCAGGCACCCAGCTGAGGGATGTGGGCGCCTGGGCTGCACTCTTGGCTCTGCTGCAGATTTTGGCCACTGAGTTCCAGAGACTATAAGACAGACAAGGCTGTCCTCGAAGGGAAGGTTCTCACACCACAGCCATGGGGCCCAGGGCCAGAGTCAGATGAAGCTTTGTACTGGGCACATTCTTGTTATGACATTAGGGAGGTTTCTGAGGAAAGAGGAGAGCGAGGGAGGAGAAGAGTCCTCCACAGAGGAGGGTGTTGTCACCCAGGCAAAAGTGGAAGAGCACTGAGAGGTAGGAAGGACTGGTCAGCAGTGAGTGGATAAAACCAAGTGACAGGAGAAGATTTGTGTGTTAGTGGCCAAGTGTGTTCTTGGAACACCAGGGTCAGGGGCAGTGCCAGCCTCAGAGGAGGTACTGGCCAACCCCTCCTTTCTCACCCTTCTTTGGCCCCCTCCACAATCTCCCATCAACACTACCCAACCCTGAGCAAACATCTTCTCACCCTCCTTTCCAAATCCTATTTATTAGCCCAGTTCCCTCTCTACAGACTGCCCGCGTTTGTCCGCGGGGACAGAGTTAGGGGGTAGCTGGGCTTCCCTGCCCCCACATGCCTAGCGCTTGGGAGGTGAAGGGCTAAGACAGGTTTGCTTCCGTGGGCCCCAAACCAGGAGTGTCGGGCTCCAGCGAGGCAGACCCCCGGCCGCTGTCCTTACGTCAGGATGTGCAGGCCAGGTGAGAAGCCAGAGCGGAGACATGCCCTGCCCACAGGGGGCAGCTCCTGCCCAACTCAGCTGGCAGGGTGAGAGTGGCATTTTATAAAACAAAAACCATAAATCTGGGCATTTTTCAAGTGAAGCCTTCCATTAATTGCCATCCCTTGTTTTCAAATGGGATTCATGTTGTTCCTGGGTTGCCCATGCCCTGATAGGCCAGGCCCCTGGGAGCCACAAGTGCCAGTCTGGAGATGTGGCACATGCGGATGTGCCAGACTGTGACGCACAGATGAAAAAAAAGACTCATGAGACGCAGTACTCTGCGGACACCTTAGGACTGAACAATCACATGCAGGGGCTGTGGGGACCAGTGGGGGCTATTGGTTCCCATGTAAAGGGACTGGCCTATTCTTGCCTCTCAAGAGTACATGCCCACTGTAGCCACAACTCCTTTTTTTCCAAAGATATTAACTATTATGTGCAATTTCCTCATTTTAAAATGTTGACTCAAATTTTAAAAGTAGGCAAACAAAATGAACCCACTATCCCCATGGTTCTGCTTTAAAAGGTATATGTGTGTGTGTGTGTGTGTGTGTGTGTGTGTGTGTGTGTGTGTGTATATATATATATATATATATATATATATATATATATAGTACTTGAGAGCGAGACTTTCTTTGTTTCCCTTGAGAAGCAACGTGAAGCAGGCGGGGAAGCTGGCAGTCTGCCTTCAGATCTTGACTCTAGATTTGTTAGCAGTGTGACCCTTCCCAGTGCCCTTGCCCTCCCTCAGCATGCCGGGGTCTGCCGGCACCTGCCTTGGGAGGCAGATCACCTAGGCGCACAGAAAGTGCTGTAAACATAGCTGTTGATACTGCTATTGTGCCTACAGTGGAGCGGAGGCGGAGGGACAAGATCAACAACTGGATTGTCCAACTTTCAAAAATCATTCCAGATTGTAACACAGACAACAGCAAGACAGGAGCGGTGAGTGCCCCTGGCGCCACCCAGAAAGTCTGCCTGGACCACTGGGGTGAGCCAGTAGGCAGAGGCCAGTGAGCAGTGCTCACTCTGATGCTCTTGCCCGCCCCCCAGAGTAAAGGAGGGATCCTGTCAAAGGCCTGCGACTACATCCGGGAGCTGCGCCAGACCAACCAGCGCATGCAGGAGACCTTCAAGGAGGCCGAACGGCTGCAGATGGACAATGAGCTCCTGAGGCAACAGGTGAGTGCCAGGGCTGGGAGTTGGGTGGAGGACCCAGGACCCCACGGTGCAGGGCACTATCTCTGGCCCCTTGTGCCCTCTCATGTCTGCCAGATTGAGGAGCTGAAGAACGAGAATGCCGTGCTTCGTGCCCAGCTGCAGCAGCACAACCTGGAGATGGTGGGCGAGAGCAACCGGCAGTGATGCCCTTCCCGTCGCACGGCAGGCCCTTCTCTGGGCCTCTGCTGCCCCTTCCCCAGCCCTTAGCACAGAGAGGGACAGATGCCCCTCCCCCAGCTGCGTTTTTTTATAGTAGATTTTTAACAAAAAAAAAAATGGGGAGAAGTAACGCATTTCTTTGGATAAACACCCACTGCTCTCCTGGATGTGGAAATGATCTCCCTCCCCCATCTGTCTGCCCCTTCTCCTGGCCCCCACTAAGCCCCAGCACTTCTAGTGGTCTTGCCTGGAGGCAAAGGAAGGACAGAGGCCCTGCCGTATCCTGCTGCCTGTTTTGGCCTCTGGAGGTGCTGACATGGTGCTTACGGGCAGGAGGGGAGCCTTTGGGGGCCATCCATGGGACCTGGACCTAAGAAGGGAGGCCATGTCTCACCCCACCTCTTGTTTCTGGATTCCTGCTCCCCTTTGGGGGCGTGTGTGTGTGTGTGTGTGTGTGTATGTGTGTTTTCATTTTCTTTATGGAAAAATGGACAAAAAATAGAGAGAGAGGTATTTAACTGCAATAAACTGGCCCCATGTGGCCCCGCCTTGTCTGTCTGCGTATTTGTCTTTCTCAGGTATGGGCAGGGGCCATGGGGTTTGTGCAGAGCTCCACCAGGTAAGGGCCTCAGGTGCTGTTGGTGGCTCTGTGCCAGTTCCTGCCGTTCTGTACTGCACGGCACCCATGGCTGGCTGGAGGAATTAAGGAGTGAATACCCTCTTTGAGACCCCAGGTGTGTGTATCTGTGTGTGGGGGTTGGGGAGAGGTTGGGTCAAGGACCTACGTCTTTGGAGGAGAGGTTGGGGTCTCCTGTGTCATCAGTTCCTAAAAACAGGACTGGCTCCTGGCTCTGCCCTTCTGGGCTGAAGCCCTTCCCTCTGCACCAGCCAATGGTGGGGCCTGGCCTTGAGCCCCCCACCCCCAAGGAAGGCAGAAGGCCAGGAAGCCAGGCTTGGCCCGTCAGCCTGTCGCCTTGCACTGTGGCTCTGGCGCCTGTGCTATGACCCCTGCCCCTGGCTGATGATGAAACCTGGCCTGAGCGGAGATGGAGTGACACCAGGCAGTGTTGGGGGATGCTTCTGGATCTCCCTGTGGTCGAACGTGCAGCCCCCATGCAACTCCATCCCCTCCCAGGATACAGACCTGCCAGTTGCCACCATGCCGAGTTCACCATGCATGCACCCCAAATGTCCCCAACTGGTTTCTTCCTGCTGAGAGCCCTGTCTCCTTTTCCTGGCCATTACACAGTTTGAGGCCCTCTTTGAGAAAGGATGTGTGCAGCAGGAAGAGCCTAACATGGTGTGAATGGGGAGGCAAGTGGCAAGGAGCAGCCTTGATTTCCCAGGGGCCCCCATTCTTATTGTTTTGAATGAGTTCGGCTATAGTTCAGGGCAGGGGAGACGTCTTCATTCCTTGGCAGCCGCATCTCCAGGCTCCAGTAAAGTTGACACTGGATGATCTATGAATGAGTCAGAGCCCAAATGGCCAAAGTCCCATCTCTGGATTTAAGTTAGTGGGTCCTCTGGGCTGTGTGTACCCACTATGTTCAGGTAGTGGCCAGAACAGTCAGGAGCCTTGGTTCTCCCTGCCCAGTGGTGTTCTAAGGCAGTGGTCGCTAACCAGACAACTGGTGGGATGTGAGTCCGAAAGGTTGATGACTGCTGTTCTAAGGGACCAGCTCTCTCCCCAAAAGAACCCTGGTTTGTAGTGTTGGCTGATGTGGTGTACATACCCCATTGCTGGTGTCCAGATACCAACATGATGCCACTGAATGTGGAGGTGGGATGAGATGTGCACAGTGGCTCTGTCGAGCCAGTATGAGTCAGGTCTACTGACCTGTGTTTGGGGGAGGCAGGAAAGAGCACAGGCCTCAGAGTCAGGCTGCCTACTCTGGAGTGCCAGCTCTGCCTCTGATCTTGGTAGAGCCCCATCTTGGCCTTCAGTCCCTCCAGTCAAGTGAGGAAAGCAAGTCTAGTGGGCTCCTAAGAGGGAGCAGGTCCTTGGAAACGGGCTGAGCGGGCAGCTTGGGCCCTGAATACAGTGCAGAGCCCAGAATGGGGCAGCAGGCACTGTTTTGAGGACAGGCGGTCCTGGCTGTTAGCACCAAAGTGAGACAGTACACCTGCTGGGGCATGAGGTGCAGCCACTGCTGTTCCTGCTTCTCCGTGGTCTGGCGTCACAGGAACATTTTCCAGATACCAGGCCCCTTCTTAAGGTGCTGACACTTGTAAAAGATCATGCTCGTGCAGGCTCCTCCTCCTGCATCTGGCTGTTGCAGTGTTCTCTACAGAACAGAACCGGAAGCTGGGGGAATGGTATGTGGCACCTCAAAGGACCCTGGTAAGTGACAGCCTCCCCCCATGTGAAGGAGGAGGTCAGGGAAGGGTGGGGAACAAGGACACCTTGCTCCTGCTCATTGACCTGTTCAACCTCTGTGGCAAAAGGGGGAAGTTTTTCTGAGATCAACAAGATGATGTCATGTTAGGGAAAGTGTTTCCCAGGAGGCTGGCTAGAGGCCTGTGTCTGTGGCCCCATCTGCCCCGCCCCCTGTACACACCTCTGCTGGCTGAGGTTGACACAACCCTGTTCCCTGTCACTCTGTTCCCGCTTATCTCCCGCCTTTTCGGCGCCACTACCTTCTTGGAAATGAGTTAGGACAAAGGGGAGGGGGCTTAGCACCCCCGCCTCTGGCCCCATAAAAGCGACTGTAACTGTGCCCAGACACCAGAGCTGTCCGAGACCTAACAGCAGGACACCAGCCAGAGGCGCAATGGCACTGAATGTGCGGATCCAGACTGCCTGTCTTCTGCTCCTCCTCCTGGCCAGCCTGGCCAGTGCCTCAGCTCTGCACCAGGTGAGAGCCCATGGGGCCTGGGCCCAGCAGGCAGCCACATGGGAGAGCCAGGCCCTTGGAGGGGACTGTTGATGGAGATGGAGACCACAGGACTGGGCAGATGGAGACCACAGGACTGGGCAGATGGCAAGGCAGGCAAAGGGAGGAGGGGCAGCTGCCTAAAGTACAGAGATAGGGTCCGAGTGGCAGGGACTGGGGGTTCCCAAACTAATTCCACATTTATTGAGTGCCGATTCTGTGAAAAGTCTCATTCTAAACGGGATCAGGCAGTGAACAAGGTAGATGAGAGAAGATTTTTGCTCTTATGGTGCTTACAATCTGGTCAGGGAATTAGTTAAAAAACAAAAGATCATGGTGTTTAGTAAATGCTACTCACATTTAACAAAAAAAATTATAGAGTGACCATGGTGGTGGGGGGCACGGAGGGGGCGGATAGGTGAGATCAAGAGCTGGCAGTCACAGAGGAGTGTTTTGAGAGAAAATGGTATTTGACCTATGACTTGGATGGTGAGACAGGCAAGCTAAAACCCGAAGTGGGGCAAGCGTGGTGTACTTGGTAATCAGAGGGTGTAGGGAGTGGGTGGTGGTCTTGGAGCTGAGATTGATGTTCCTCCAAGTGCAGGAAGAGCCCTGCAGGCTTTTCTAATGGATACAGCCACACATGACTGATATGTGAGGAACGGATTGTAGGGGCAAGTTGGAGGCATATGCCATCCTCAGCATTCCCTTCTGCTTTCACAGACAACACAGCTTGCAGACCTCCAGACCCAGGATACAGCTGGAGCCACAGCTGGCTTGAAGGTGAGAACACCTTGACTTCTTTCCAGAGCCTCCCAGCCTTCCCTGAGCCCACGCCTGCTCACTCTTCTTCCTTCCTACAGCCTGGGCTGCAGAGGCTGAGGAGGCGAGACACTCACTTCCCCATCTGCATCTTCTGTTGTGGCTGCTGTTATCCATCAAGGTGTGGGATCTGCTGCAAGACGTAGAGTCTCCCTGCCCTCTCCTCCCTCCTCTATTTATTCCTGTCGCCCTCTAACACTTGGTAAATGGTCTCAGAATAAAATGACTGTTCTAGCTTTATTTTCCAAACCAGAGTGTTGTCCTTTCTCCCCGCCAAAGCTGTCTTGTTCAGGGGTACTCAGTGGGATGTGCCGGTGGTTGTGTGTTGAGGTTTCAAGGAAGCTTGCTGAAAAACATTTGTTTTCTGCTCTTCCCCTTCTTGAAACCCCACTTCATAAGACCTAGAATTTTTGTTGCCACAGCAGGAAATAAAAACTAAACAAAGTTTCTTCTTTAAGTCTTGAAATGGGTGATAAACTCAAATACCTAGCCAGGGTTCTCAAAGTCAAGTCTGGGGCTCCATCCAAGGACCCACAGGAGGACCCTATTAAGATGTTACTAGTTTCTTTCACTCTCATTCTCACATGAAATTGGGTTTCCCAGAAGCTCTGTGACATCATTCCTCTGATGGCTAATGGATTGTAGTTGTGCTTTAAAAATTTCCGAGTTTCAATTTTTAATGTTAAGCAACTATACATATAACCCACTTAAATGAAAGTTTTTGGAGTCCTCAATAATTTTGCAAAAAGGGTTTCTGAGACCAAAATGTTTGAGAACCACTGGCCTTGCAGATAGATGCAGTAAATGAGAGAGGTGTGGATTTGTTTCACAGGAGCATATCTTACCTAATAAAAGAGAAATCTTAGCTAATAAAAGAGAAACATGCAAATTAACTATCACTCCGCTATACCCACAGCCAATCAGAGTGAGTATGCAAATTAATATAACAAAGATGGAGGTTAGTTTGCATATGCAGGCAGGGAGTGGTGTGAAGCCTGCTATAAAGGGAAGGGGGGTGGCTGAGGGAGCTACTGGAGTGGTGCTCGGGACAGAAGCAAGGACTTGCAAGCTCCGGGCGGCCAGGGAGTGGGGACATGCCGGCTCCAAGGTGGCTGGGAGTGAAGCCAGGGGAAGGAGGGCCTATTCTTGCACGAATATCATGCAACGGGCCTCTATTTAGGTTATCTCTCAATAAAGACACACTTTGCACATGACACACAGAAGAGAACACCATTCACAAGGAATTAAGATCCCTCCCATTTTTAAAAAATATATTTTATTGATTTTTAACAGAGAGGGATAGAGTGTTAGAAACATTGATGAGAGAGAATCATCCATCAGCTGCCTCTTGCACACCCCCTACTGGGGATGTACTCGCAACCAAGGTACATGCCCTTGACTGGAATCGAACCTGGGACATTTCAGTCCACAGGCCAACGCTCTATCCACTGAGCCCAACCGGTTTTGGCCCTCCCATTCTTTTTAAAAACCATATCCCTTTCAATTTATCAGATTTTCCCACTTTTGATAGAAACAAAGGCATCTCACTATCTTCTTAGCCTATAAAAACATCAGCAGTGGTGTGATGATAGAGGGTGGCTATTTGGCTTCAGTGCTGCGTATGGGCAGGAAGCGGGGAGGCCTAGATCTCATCTGAAGTGGCTCCCAGTGGTGGCTGCAATGCTCAAAGGCAAGCCAAACATGGCTAGAGCTTCTTTCCAAGAGAAGGTGGCAGTCCTTTCTGATTTTAAAAAATTTGGCAACTGATTAAAGAAATTTGATTTTTTAAAATCAACACTCTGGGAGCTAAACTAAACCCAATTGGAGCTGGATCAGTCTGGTAACCCACAAACTTCTGCTTTCTGCCTTTGAAGCCATGAGGGGCTCCTCCAAGAGGATTTCCTGAACTAAGACTAAGGAGTGGGAGAGGAAGGCAAGCTGGAGAGCCTGGCCTCCTATTTGCTGCAGGATGGAGCAGGCATCTCTCTTCCACCACCCCTCTCCCCATACCCCCTACCCACCTCCTCATGTGTGAAAGGTCAGAAGTGTCCCTACAGTGCTCAACTGATTGGGCTGTTGAGCGGCTCAGCAGGAATGAGTGAAATGGTTTGGAAACTCAAATGCCTCATCAGTGTAAAGGATCAGTACAGAGGGGAAGGAAGAGGACTCTTGGACCCCCTCAATAAATGCCTGGGAGGTGGGAAATCTGAAATGACTAAATACATTTAATGACACTGAGTACTCTGTTCATCTTAGCAAGTTCTCTGGGTGGTCCTAGAGAGAGGCAGAGGTGCTCCAGATCAGCGTGCACCAGAATCTGCGAGGGGACAGATTACCAGAGTTGCTGACACCACAGGGCTGGGATGAGGCCATGAAACTTTCTAATAAGCTTCCAGGCCATACTGATGCTACTGGCGGGGGACGGGGGGAGGGGCATACTCGGAAGACTCCTGGTACGATGCTGACAACTCTGGCTGAGGACAGCAAGTGCCCCTTGGCTGGACCAAGCACCAGCTTTCACTCAAGAGAGCTTTAAACAAGTGGGCCTGAGGGCTTGATCTGCCCTGAGTTGAGTTTTGCTTGCACTGCACAGTATTTTTAGATACAATTGGGCTAATACCTGAAAAGCAAGCTATGGCACATAAAAATCTGAACTGACATTATGGGCTAAAGTGTGTCCCTCTCCAAGTGTATAAGTTGAAGTTTTAAATTCTAGTACCTCAGATGTGACCTTATTTGGTCTGTAGAGGTTAAGTTAAAATGAGGTCATTAGGGTAGGTTCCAACCCAGGAGGACTGGTGTCCTATAAAAGGGGTATTTGGACACAGAAGCTCTTGTTCAGGGAGAATGCCTGGTGAACATGAAGGTGGCCATCTGCAAGCTCAGGGGGAGGCATGACGGAAGGAACAGCTCCTGCCTCCTAGCCCTCAGAAAGTACGATGCCAAAATGCTGGCCTCCCACTTCTAGCCTCCCACAGTGAGACAGTCAACTTCCTAAGCCATTCGTTTTGTGGCATTTTGTCACAGGGTCCCTAGCAAACCATCACCCGCCTTGAGGGGAAGTACTGTGACCTGGCAGAGTTGGGGAACGGATGTGAGTGTGCTGCTCCCCTTCAGACGGGCCCATGCTCTCCGGCACCCCGGTCCTGTGTCCTGGACACCTAGGTTTTCAGATTTTGGTGACAGTTGCCAGTGCTGTCTATGGGACTCATTTGCCTGTGCATCCTTCTCTCAGGGACAACCTTCAGTTCACACCCAGAAGGATGTACCCCAAACAGCACAGGCACATGAACCAAGGGGGTTGGCACTGACACCGAAAGCTGTGACATGAGTATCCCAGGTCACAGTGTCCTCCCCCAAAGCCCAGGCACCAGGCCCCTCTCTTCTCCAGGACCCAGGAGGTCAAGCCCCACCCTGCTCTCAATAGGCCTTTGTCCCTGACTGGGAAAGGCACGGGCAGAGTCTGACATCATAAAGCCTGATGTGGGGATAGGACTCTCCTTCCCCTTCCATCCAGCCTTCTCTCACTTCTCAATTCCCTGTCTGAGGGATTCCCCACCCCTCAGCCCCCATCCTCCCAGTTTCTCCCTTGGGAGGAAGGACACTCCCTCCCTCCCTCCCCACAGAAGATGCCCCAGTGTGACTGAGCAGCTCACAGTCAAAACACTGCTGCACTTAAATCACTGCCAGCTCCCACCACCACTTTGCAAAGATCATGCCAATGGAAGGGTCTTGATGGCAGGAGGAACACGTGGAATCTGCCCACAGAGGGTCCCCACCCTGCTCAGAGTCAGCACAGCCCTCAGCAAACACCGTTGGGGCTCTATTCTAGGGGAATAAGACAGACAGACAGACAGATAGAGAAATACTGCCCTCTGGAAGTCCCTGGCTGGTGTGGAAGGAACTCATGATAGTCGGATGAGTGATGTGCTGAGGGCTGTGGAGGGACTTTGGCTTGGTGGGAAGGCAGGTGGCTTCCAGAGGCAGTGGCATCCACTTGGCAGTTTTGGCCAGGGCAGGGTGGGCATGGGGCGAGGTAGAGGAGCTTTCCAGGAGGAAGGGATAAGTATAGAGGCCTCCAGTCAGAAGGTGCCACAGGGTATCGGACGTAAGCATCCACCCTGCATTTACAAAGCTCAGCTGCACCAGGAGCCTTGCTACAAGCAGGAAAGATTGGGAACAAGCAGGCAAAGCCCTCGTCCTCCTGGAGGTCATGTGCTCTGAGAGGAGACAGTCAATACCTAAGGGCTTCTTGCCTCTCATGACCAGAGCTGTACCTGTCATTGTCGTCACCAAGATTCCCTGGAGGCTGAGGACAATGCCTTCCGTTTCTGTCTGAGATGTTCAGAGATATTAGAACACCCCCCAAGGTCTCCAAACCAGGGTGCACAGCAATGTAGGAGAGGGAAGCAAGTGAGGCAGCCCCCCATCCCCTCCAGGAAGGAGCTCGTAGAACCCAGGCATCAGGCTGCCCAGTGGAGCAGTGGTGACAAGGGCCCTTTGTGCCCCCCTCCCCCGGGGACAGGGAGGAGCTGGGCCCTGGAGGCAGGCAGTCCCTGGCACCCACGGGGGTGGGGGGGTGGGAAGGAGGGGCCAGCAAGTGGGGGCCTAGACCCTGGGAGGCCAGGGGACTGTAAGCAGGCGTGAGGAGCACAGGGTACAGACACAGGAGCATCCTGGTGAGTACACAGCAGCCAAGAGGGGCAGGGGGCAGGGTGGGAGTAGAGGGCCATGAGTGAGAGGGTGAAGTGGGGGCAAGGTGAGGATGGTCGCTGCGAACTGCTACTAATTTAGGATGGGAGGGTGTTCCTGGGGACTTTGGAATGAGCGGGGACCATGGCAGGACAGTGATGGGGCTTTGGGAAGAAACTACAGGGAGAGCAAGAGGGGCCCTCCTCAGCACCCCTCGCCGGGGAGGTTCTGCAGGATCAGCTTCCCTGGGGCTTCCAAGTTTGGGGCAGATGTGGTGGGAACGGCCTGGAGTGGGGGGAAGAGCTGACCGATGCCCAGGTGATTAGGTACCTCTGAGAGGGGGTGAGGCAGTGGGCTTTGAGTGAGCAAGTTCCAGCTCCTGGGGCACAACAAGGGGTGTGTGTGTGTGTGTGTGTGTGTGTGTGTGAGTGAGTGTACCATCCTGGGTGGGTTT